GCACCATGGTACTGTTAGCAGAGAGGTTCACTTAGCAACATGGTCCCATTAGCACCATGGTACTGTTAGCGGTGTGGTTCTGGGGTTCTGTTAGCATTAACAGTGTGGTTCAGTTAGCAGCATGGTACTGCATTAACAGTGTGGTTCAGTTAGCAGCATGGTACTGTTAGCAGCATGGTACTGTTAGCAGTGTGGTCTTGTTAGCAGCATGCTGATAATAACGATTGCAACCACGGCTGATGACTGCCCTCCAGAACCGTGTAAAGTGCACGTTTTTAGGAATAAATTACCCACACGGACGAAACAACACAAAAACCTTCAAGTGTTAAACTGCTGACGGTGTCTCGGTGAGTGCAGGCTTTGAACAAGAAGTACACAGAACGTTTTGAACAGCTACAAACGTTCAACACTTTCTGTCCAACAGTAAAGCTTGTTTCCTTCAAACCCACAACACCTGCTATCTGTGACTAGGACTTGATTCTTCAGATACTGAGTGCGCCACTACACGCCCGGTCTCTTTAGACCTTTTTACATCCAGCTCTTCATCGTGATATTTTAAAACAAAGAGCCGTAAAACTAATCTAGCTTTTCTTTCTTTATCTCCAGCCTGAGGTCAGATGATCACCTGCGAGAACGTGGTCCCTGGATTGTGCATGATATGTGGTCTGTCTGCCCTTTAATATTTCATGTCCTCTCTGCACTGCGCCTCTCTAACCTCACCTCTGTTTCTGTTTCGCCCCTCATCATCATCTCCAGTCTCTCCCACCTCATCTCTGGCTCACTCTTCTCCAGGGAGCAGAGGAATCATTACTCAGAGCACCGGCTGACGTTTCGTCCATTATCATATTAAAGGCTTTTTAATGCCTCGCTGCCTTGTGCAACGCTACAAACTAGGGGTCGACTCAGTATCTGAGCAGCCATGTTGCACCTTTACAACAGAGCTGCCTCAGAAAGAACAGAGTGAAACGATATCGGCTTCTTTTCAGCACAATGCACGTTTATTTATGAGACGATTGATCCAAGAATGAAACCCAAGAAAAAGAAGTCAAAGGAGACTCATTTAGAAGTCCTTATCTTTTCACCCTTTAAACCCTTACTATACCAGAACACAAATCAATCATACTTTGATGATAAAACATTTAAACTAATTTCTAGTAAATTTATTCAAGGCATTGTCAGGGTCACTCTTTAATTTCTAAATATTTGCTTGCAATTATTTTTAAGGATTTTCCCTCTATTGATCTCTAAATAATGTGTTTTTACTTTTATCAGAAATGATCTCATTAATAAAGTGATGAATCTGTTGGTGGGTTTTCACAACACTTCAGTTCTGACAGATGTTTTTGGGGGGTCTTCTACCACGTCTGATGTAATCAACAGATATGATTAAATGTGTCCTAATAGTTCCACCAGGACCTAAATTAAACACCTGAAGCATGAACAGACTTCCTCACTCTGAACCTCACACACATTTAGTATTTCTAAAAACCTGAAGACAAAAAACAACAACCTTTAGGCTTAAATCATTCATAGTGAGCTGTTGTTCTGTGTCATGAAGAGAAGGTCCTACCTGTTCACTGCCAACACTTTTGTCTGTGTAGTACACCTTGTAGGTGAGGATCTCTCCGTTGCCTGTGAGGGGTTTGTCCCAGCTAAGAGAAACCGAGGTGGGTGAGTTCGACACCGCCTGCAGGTTGGGAGCGGGGCCCGGGACTTGGACTGGCGGAAGGAAATAAAAACAACAACGGTTAGACAGATATCTAACTCAACTCTTTCTTTCTCAACTAAATTCTGTGACTAAAATATCTGTAACATCTCGGTTGTTTCTAAACTGGATAAGGTACTTTTTTTTAAAAGTTGTGATAAATGAACGCAGAGTGCTTCAAGAACCGAACCAACAAACGGTAAACATGGGCATAAATTGGGGGCAGAATTGAACACAAGCATTGAATGTGTTTGTGTTGAGACTGTGTCTGTCTTGCGTTTGGGGAGTGGTGGTGCAGAGGTTAGAGAAGACGAGTCTGTGATCAGGAGATCGCCAGTTCAACTCCCCAGACCGACAACATCAAAAAGGTGAAACACCCACATCTGCCTCCACCCTTATTTGCCCCACTCTGGGTCCTTGAGCAAGGCCCTTAACCCCCCACCATCTGCTCCACACAGAGGGCTGTGGTAGCTCGGTGGTCTGCGGTTGTGTCAGGAAGGGCATCCTGCGTAAAAACAGTTGCCAAGTCTTGGTGCGAGTTAGTTCACTGTGGCGACCCCTGAAGAAGGGAGCAGCTGAAAGAAGAAAAGAAGCAATGATTGTGACTGTAAAGATTTTAAACATAGCCCGTCCAATGGATGAACAGCATATGCACCTGCTTAGGGCCCCTCAGGCCAACAGGAGTCCCCCCAGGAGTACTCAACCTACGAAAGACAACTTGACGCACGTTTTAATGTATGTTGCTTGTAATCATACGAGAAAGAAGCTCTGTATAGTTTAATATTTATGTGAACAGAGTGATAGTTTATTACCACTAACGTAATAAATTGATGTAATACTAATATAATAAACTGAGCTGCTCAAAACGTAATTGTTAAAATTGCGTGGTTACCTAAACACAACTTAAACTTGTTACCGAAACCAGTGGTTCCCAACCCAGGTCCTTGAGGAACACCATCCTGCATGTTTTAGTCGTTTCCCTGCAGTGACACTCTTGATTTGAATAACTGGGTGATTAAGAGGCTTCTACAAAACTTGAGGAAGTAATTAAATCACTGAATCAGGTGTGTTGAAGCAGGAAACAACTAAAACATGAAGGACAGTGTTCCTCGAGGACCAGGGTTGAGAACCACTGAAAACTAAACTTAGCTCCTCCCCCTGAGTCCGCTGAGCCATTCCTGATACTCTGTGCACCCGACTGAATCCACAAGTCAGCGAAATGACACTCCTGCTCATTTATTCACAGCAGTTAATTAGACTAAGCACTATTTATTTCTGAAACAGTGAAATAACTGAAAGGTTTGGTAAAAATAAAAAAAATCTGACATGTGATCAGTTCAAGGAATAATTGTCGGCTCGCTGCGTTAAACTTTGGACCAACGATAAAGAATGGATTGCATAAAAAGATGGTGGTGAGTGAGCGATGGTCTAACTAAAAGGGGGCCCAGAATGAAATGCTCCTTAGGGACCCTTGTCACCTCGAGCTGGCCCTGACTTTAAAACAGAAAACTCAGGCGTCTCATAAGTTCAGTAGGAGGTTAAATTAAGGAACTGATCCTAAATAATGAACATTGGGTTAAGGTGAAGGGCTGTACGTGTTATATCAGTCAGTAAATACATCAGAGAAAGCAGCTTTCTGTTCACACAACCCCAGGGTTTTCCACTCCGTGTTGATTTGTTTGTTATTGTCCAAACAACACCAGGTGATTTCATCATTTCATGCTGCAGTCCTGCAGTTCAGACTGGTTTTGTGAGCATCGGTCACACTGGACTCCTGGATTTCTGACAGTGTCCGAAATTTGCCACGGGCTGTTTTAGATCATTACATCTGCAGTGAACTTCTCACACAGAGCGAGACAGGAGCATCTTTTTGGAGTCAGAATAAAAAAAAACATTTTGTTTTTCCATCTTCCGCCTGGGTTTACCAAAAGATCAGAAACAGCCAACAGATGAGCCAGCATCTATCCTGTTACACTAGAGAGGGTTTGAAAAGAGACATGCAGACATGTCTGACGATGTGGTGCAGAACATGAATAAAAATACAATTTAAGGCTTATAGAGATATAATTAATATCCCATTCAGGAAGAACTGACAAAAGTTTTCTTATGATAAACATCTTTAATCAATTTGTTCTATAAGAGGAGAGTAAACAATACACAAACTATAACAAGGATACAAGGAGTTGCAATTAATTAGATTATGGATGACCATCAGCCTTTAAGTGAGCAGAATATCAATTTGTGATGGAAAGGGAATTTTGGTTTTGACGTACCCTTGGTGTGTCTCATAAACTTTATTCTGAGCTTTACTGGACTTCCTCACCTAACTCGTTTTATTAAAGACATGAGCACTAAAATAAAAACCTTTTCATTTTCATACAGAAGCTTACAGTTATTTCAAACACATCTGTTTGAATAAATCTGTGCTCATTTAAGAAGAGTCGAATGAAAAACTACAAACCTTCAATTTAACTTCAATAATGAATATATTTGTGTCATTAAAGTCACAGTAAACAGCTTAGACACTGCTGCTGTTGGTCAAATGACACCGTTTATACATGTATATGTACGTATGTATATATACATGCATATATATACTTATATATATGATACCAGTTTTGGTGTGAAAACTAATTATAAAAACTTGAAACTTATGGAAGAAGACAACTTTATGTGCTGTATGTATTTATATGAACTTTAAAAATGTAGACCTGCATTCATTGGCACAATATACTAAGCCAATGATAATGGATAATGATCTTTAATTTAATATTCAAATGAAGGCCATGGTTAAGTCAAGCTTTTATCAGTTAAGGCAGCTGGCTAAAGTCAAGCCAGTTCTTACCAGAAAGATTTTGAGACAGTCATCCACTTCATCACCACTCTAATGGATTACTGTAATGCACTTTATACAGGGGTCAGCGCTTCCTCTGCTGCTCAGCTTCAGAGGGTCCAAAATGAAGCTGCACATTTTTTAACTGGCACAAAAAAAAACATGACTATTTTTCCCGTTTAGCCTTTCTGCACTGCTGTCTGTACATTTTAAGATTCATTTTAAAGTTATTTTATTTGTTTTGAAAGCAGGGATGCACAATATTATTGGCATGGTATCGGTATCTGCCGATATTAGCAATAAAGTTAAATATCGGACATCGGCCATTCCATCAAAATAACTCACCAATATAAAAGGCTTCTGTTTTAAGTTAATTTTTAATTTAGTACCAGTTTATCTATCTACAAGTTTATCAATTAATGCACTACTGCTTATGCGCTTTTCACTTGTCACCTGTGAACAGGTTGAGTTTAGATTTGTGAAAATTTACACATTTGCACTGTTCGAGTGTTGTCATTGTGTTAGAGAGAGTAAATGTCATGAATAAATTTGACATTAAACATAATCCAAGTTGAAGTGTTACATCATTTTCAGTCCCTTTTTGACATCTGCATTTGGTAGCAGAACAAACTGACAAAGACCATGCAGAATAATGTAGTATTTTAATTCCACAACTATAGAAAGTTATGTACCATAATTTCCGCCGTACACGTCGCTCCGCCCTATAAGTCGCATCAGTCCATATTTGTCTAATAAAGTGGAAAAATCCATAAATGTGTCGCTTTGTCGTATACGTCGCATCTATTATGCGTCACTGCTGACGCGTCGCGGCTGTTACGTGTCATTGCTGACAACTGGGAAATGTGGACCAAACCCAGAAATGTGGACCGGTGTTGTGCTAAAAACCGATGGGCTGCCAAATGGCAGCTGCGAGAGCGTGCACAGGAGGACTTTAACAAGAAATTAACAAGATTAACACTTAAAAACAATTATTTGTTTGCTGGAAATTATAGTAAATGTGTGTCTCAGTGGGCAGCATGGTGGCGCAACTGGTAGAGCTGCTGCCTCTCAGCAAGCAGGTCCTTGGTTCAAATCCCGGTCCAGGGGCCTTTCTGGGTGGAGTTTGCATGTTCTCTCCGTGCATGCGTGGGTTTCCTCCAGGTACTCCAGTTTCCTCCCATTGTCCAAAAACATGCATGTTAGGCTGATTGGTAACTCTAAATTGTCCCTAGGTGTGAGTGAGAGAGTGAATGGTTGTTTGTCTCGTTTGTCTCTTTGTGTCCCTCTGATGGACTTGCGACCCGTCCAGGGTGTACCCCGCCCCTCGCACAGTATTGCTGGACATGGGCACCAGCGACCCCCGTGACCCAAAATGGAAGAAGTGGGTAAAAGATAATGGATGGATGGATGGAACAATAAGGTATAATATAATAAATAAAGTCCAGTTGTTTATGTCTTAATTTTTTTTTACTTTTTCATTATAGCCACGTTTACCTATTGCATGATACAACAGCATGCCATACAACTATTACTGCTCTGCTGCCATCAAGTGGCTGAAAGTGGAACTGCTCAACTTTTTTTTTCAGTCAGAATGAATGAAAATGGTCATATCTCAACCAAAAATTGGTTTATAAAAATGGGAAAAAAAATCCATAAATATGTTGCTGCTTCGGCCTATAAGTCACAGGGCATGTAAATTATGCAAAAAACTACGACTTATAGGCCGAATAATACAGTAGTCTCTGTAAGTAGGTCTAAGAAAAAATATTGGTATTGGTTATCGACTAAATAAGTTTCAACATATTGGCATATTGGATATCTGCCAAAAATCCAATATCGTGCATCTCTAGTTGAAAGCTTTAAATGGTCTTGCCCCACCTTATCTAACTGAGCTGCTACACCCCTACACGCCCTCCCGTTCTCTCAGGTCAGAAGACCAGCTGCTCCTGAGAGTCCCCAAAAACTAAAGGAAAGCTTCGAGGGGATCGTGCTTCCTCTGCTGCTGCCTTTGAGCCTCAGACAGCCATCCTCCCCGTCTGTTTTTAAATCACTTCTTAAAACTTTTTTCTTTGCCTTGGCTTGTGACACCACCTGAGATGCTGATTTTTTGTCCAGTTTTAGTTTATTTTTAACTAATTTAAATGATTGATCAATTTGTTTTTGTTTCATATAAGTCTGTTTTTGGTTTGCTTTCATAGGTTTTTATCTGCTATTGGTTTTATTGACTGCAGCTGTGCAGCACTTTGCTCCTAAGGTTGTATAAATAAAGCTGGTGTGGTACGGTAGAACTCCAGTGGAGGGTATTGTTTGAGAATTTATGTTATGAATAGTTTTATTATATTATGGCTGACAACATCTTTCTTATCTCCAGCTGGAGGTGGACTTGCTGCTGACTGCAGCTGGATGTGAGGGAACGCCTGCTGGACTCTGCTGATGTATAAAAGTCTGCAGCAAACTGTTCGATGCTCAGTCAGTGACATGATCCATGCATTGTAAATCTGTGGATGTAGTCTGTTTTGAATGAGTCTTTGCAAGTAAAACCAGTTAAAAACCTTCTTGTGTCCTCAGTGGCTTATTTGAGTACCGTATTTTTCGGACTATAAGACGCACCAGATTATAAGGCACATTAAGCGAAACTAAAACATTCTGACAGATTTTTGAGCGCCGTGTACCACAAATAATCAGTTTGAGTTCGGTAAGCACAACCAGAGTTAATACATAAGGTGCACCTGATTATAAGGTTCACTGTGGATTTTTGAGAAAATTAAAGGATTTTAAGTGTGCCTTATAGTCCAAAAAATACGGTAAGCAGATGAAAGGATGTTTATTTATCCAACAAATATACCCCACTTCGTGAAGCTTGTAGGTCCACACCACGGTCAGTGTAAGCATATGGACCGTAACAGTGGCTGGTGCCCTCGGGCAGACATCCAGTCTGTCTGTACTGTGTGCAACTTGTAACCTTTAGCTGCAGGAGCTCCTGACACAACAAAGAAGCCCCCATTTGTCAGCGTGCACGGATGCTGGAGGTGTGTGTGCTGCATGCATAGCCAAGTCTCTGTGGAGAACACATGCAGGGCAACAATGTGTGCACATATCAGGCACTCTGATGCAGTTCAACAGTTTAAGCTCATAGCATGTCTTTACAATGAAAGTACACACACACAGGAAAGAGATGCACTACAGAGGTACTGCCCGCCCTCGCTGATGTCCCTGTGGGTGGCTCAGCTCCTGCTGGCAAAAGCATTAAGGTCTAATGTGTGTGTTTTTGTGTGTGTGTGCGGAGCCGTCTGCCCAGAAACCAAGAAGACAGGTAGGAAAACAGAGGCTGACCTACAAAAGCGACAGAGATGGAGCTGTGGCTCAGACCAGAGGAGAGGGATGTCCACAGGCTGACCATGCTGCTGGTGGTGGGGGGGACCCCTCTATAGCTCGATGAATTATGGGCAAACCAGAGGGGCTGTGGAGCAGCCGCCACCGGGGTGCTTTCACACACAATAAATTGGAAAAAAAATGAAGAAGAAAGCCACTTTGTCTCATCCCCCAGAGATTCACACACACGCTCTCCTGTTAAAACGTCCTAATGAGCCGCTCCGCTGCACCTCCATAAAGACCAGGAAAGTGTCGGACTCTGGAATGATAATTTCCAACCACTTCTCGCTCAGGTAGGTTTGGCTTCAAGTAAAGCACGCAGTGCGGTTTCAGTAAACGCCGGGGAGTAAACAAGACGTGGCTCACAAGAGGAAAAGGTTGAAGTTCTCTGGCTTGTGTTGGGTGGTCTGCCTCAGCATGGAGCGACTGGTGCACGGCCTCCTCTGTGTTTGCTGGCGTGTGGAGGGGAGATGAGTCGGAGTCTGAACTGAATCCATGCTGCATCTGAGTGAATATCTTCTTTGTTCCAACATCTATTTGCACAGATTTGGCCCTGTGTTCGAATGCATCCTGTTTAACTTGGTGTGCATGTTTCCTCTGGTTGGAGTTTCCCTTCATGTTTATGTGTGCTGTTTACTGAGCACATGTAAACTAACAGTTATGTATATATGTGTGTGTGTTACCTTCAGCTTGGGTGGCCACTTTGAGCGCTGCAGAGCTCTCGCCCGGCCCGTTGCTGTTGTGAGCCACGACTCTGAAGCGATATTTGGTGTCTGGCATCAGATTCTGGATGGTGACTTGCATCTCTCCTGGACGGCTGGTATTCACAACCCGCTCTCTGACGTGCAAACACAATCAATTCAATATATTCAATATAATCTGCAAAACACAGAAGTCTGCTAAATGTAGGTTTTTGATAATCAACTTTAATACTGCCACTGCTGGGTAACACTGGAGCAAACCATTTTGATAAAACTTCACCTTCTTTCCAAGATGCAAGAAGACACCTGACTAAAAATTCAGATAAAATGTATTAATATGCAGATTTTAGTGGGCTGAACAATGATACTGTAAATTCAGTTTAGTCAAATGAATAATCCACATTTATATCAACCAGTGTGGTAAATCTACTCTACTGTTATAGATCAGACATGGGCAACTTAAGGCCCGAGGACCAAAAGTGGCTCTTAGACAATATTCATCAGGCCCCCAATATCCTGAGAAAAAAAAAAAAAAACTTTACAAAAAAACGATCGATAAAGAAATAAACTAATTTATCAACGAGATTTAAGGAAATTTAAATTAAACATCTTATGTAAAACTTTTATTTTTAAGTCATCGTGTTTCCATAACGAGACTGCACCTAAAGAATTGGAAACACAAACATAGAAGTTTGTTTTGCACATTTCCACTAACATTTATAACATGGCAAGCTATAACATGTTAAGCTAACATTTATAACATGTTAAGCTAACATGTATAACATGTTAAGCTAACGTGTATATGGGGGCCAAGATGGTGTAGAGGCAAGGCAGCCGGCTTGGGACCCGCATACCTCGTGGTGTCTCTGAGCAACACACTTCACCCCCAAACTTTAAAACTTTTTCAGGCTTATAAAACAACATTTTCTGCAGCAAACTAAATTTGAGTACTAACTCAAATGCTGTTTGGCTGATAAAATATAATAAAGACAGATAAATGCATAAGTGAATGTGTTGAGGTTCAGAGGCATTTTTTTGTGCCTGATCTGTCATTTGTGAGAATATGGTGGTTTATAAACCTGATAAACAACTGTAAGGCCCCTCTTTGATTTGCTTTTAGCCTAGCCTTTGTACTAGTAGTGTAAAATGTGTGTTTTGTCCATCCAACTCCAGAACAACCAGGTTTAATGTAAGTATTGAAAACAGACCAGCAGCAGAACTTCCCCTACTATAAGGAGCTAAGGTCTTTAATCGTGTGGAGCCTGATAAATGTCTGCAGTCTGTTCAGTTACTGCCTTTGCAGAAACAGTATCAAAATGTACCATTTGTAGCTAAAACTCCTGCAAGCTGCCTTCTGAAATCTGCTTGAAACTATATTGCAGAGAAAATATTAAAAGGACAACTAGAGGAAAATCTATCTATGCTTCTTAAATGTTCTTCTCTGTTAAAAGAAGCGAATCCTCAACAGATGAGGGCAAAGGAAAGATTTATCACAGGGCCCAAAAACAGAGTATTTAAACAGTCTGTTTATATCTTGCAGCTTGTTTTAAATTATTAAGTAACTGCAGCTATTAGTGTTGTAACTGCTCCAGTAAGATCTTTTCAGGGCCGTCTGACAGTACTTATAGCAGCACCCTACGGATGCATTAAAACTGTGCTTGTTCAGCTTTAGTGCAGAGCTTTCTACCTGCTGGTGCCCTCCTGGCTGTAGAAAACCGAGTAGGTTAACTCGTCTCCGTGCGGCTCGGCCGGTTGGCGCCAGGTCAGCTTGATGAAGCGGGTGGAGACCAGCGATGCGACGACGTCTCGAGGGGCGGAGGGGGTGGGGCCCGCCGGACCGGCCACGCCTCCGGAGCCTGGTGTTACATGGTCAGCAGTGTTAGGAGTCAGTGAGGGGGAAGGAAAGGAGGGCAGGGCTACGTCTTTGGGCGGGGAAGGAGGGGTAGGAGAAGGAGGCGATGTGGGGCGGGAGGGTCGAGAGAAATATATTGCACCCCCAAAAAGGACAGGTGGGGGAGAGAAGTTGAAATGGAAATGACAGTGACACGAAGGAAAGGAAGGAAACAAAACAGAAAAAACAAAATAACATAACGAAAAAGACTCTCGGCGTGACGAAGAACCACAGAAATAAAACACTTCTACTACACTCACAACGCTGACAAAAGCACGTTACAAGAGACTACACATGCAAATCCACACAACTCTCTAATGTAAGGGCGGTAAACACATATACGTTTCTTTTTAAGGCCAAAAGACCTTCAAGCCAATCATTTGTGAGGTAAAATGATTGGCTTGTACATTCTGTGACACATTCACTAACTATAAACCAGACCAACACTCGGTGACAAACGATACGATGACAAAGTCACCTTGCGCTGTTTTATGAGACAATAATGCAACTCAAGCATCTCAAGACTACATTCTGTCAGCCAAGGCACCAGATGAGGGTGTTAAAACACTTTTATTGTCACATTCCACAGCTTAGCCACAAAAATGTTTGTGATTTTAATTTGGTAGGTTTTTCTTCCCCCCTCCTTTCTGGAGGAACAATCTGTGGTCAGACTCGATGAAATCTGCTCTCAATTTGCTTGGCAAGTGAGCGAAACTAAATTATACGGAAAGAACGTCAGGCTGTATGACATTTCCATTTGTTTGTAGGTCAGGGAACTCATCAGCGGGGCAGAGCTGAAATAAAGACAAAGAGCACAACTAGCGCAGCGGTAAAACTGTGTATTGTTACTAGGAGGACGGTGATGAGAGGCAAAGAGGTCTCTGTCATGGCAAACTGCTAATATGGCTTTCAGTATTTGTTTGTTTTTCAAGTGATTGGACTGATTGTCTTTTGCACATACCTTTTCAACATTACTGAAAGAAACAGCAGAGTGAAGGAGTTTCAGCTTTGCATTCATGGCACATTCAAATTTCGAGGTCTACGTCTTATCCAAGTTATGGTTTGCTTATTTTTGTTTCATCATCAGCACTCTGTCGCACAATGAGTGTGAAATGAGACAATGAGGGTAAAACTGCAGGCAGAAAGGGTCACTTTTAGTCTTTACATCCACATTATATCAACTATTTAGTTGCAAAAGGCAATATCTTGCTATAATTTGCTTTGACAGTTAAGATTATTTGATATTTTTGTTCAAAAACTGTGATTCAGCTGAAACTGACTTCAACAAGTTATGATGGAGGATGAGGACAGCTTCAGTCAATATGGCCTCAGAGCCAAAGGTTTGTTTCAGATCCAGTTTGCTGGACTAGATTCAAAAACACTGCAAAACCCATTATAGTTCTAATACTTTAGGGATGCAACGTAACGTGCCAGATGCTGAGTAATTATCCTCATTTAGAAGATGATGCATTCACACACAGTGGGAAAAACACAACCTAACTCGAATCAGGATCATTGACTAAACGCAAGCTTGGAGCACGTTTGTTGGCAGGAGAACGCTTCTTACATTAAAAAAATAAATAAAAAAGTGAGATCACAATCCAGACAACACAGTCAACATACAAACCCCAAACATGGTTAGAATTCACAGGAAATACTGCATGGTAAGGCCGGTCATGATAACAAATTTTGCTGGGCGATTAATTGTCTCAGAAATTACTGCGATAAACAACAATATTGTTTGAAATTTGACAATAATTAGTAATAATTGTCAAATTTAAAAATAAATGTTGGTTAATTTGTTTTGCATATAGTACCTCTTTTCAGCCACCGGAGGGCAGTATAAGACTGTTTGAACCGAAGGATGGATAGTGAGGGAGCGAGCAGCGTGTCTCTTTAAGAAAAATGGGAGGGAGGCCCCTTGACGTGACATGGGCTGTCTCTCTTCGGTTCTCAAAATGGTGGATGCTCGGTGTGGTTTGAGCTCTTTAGCATAGCATTTTTCACACAAAACTTTTACTAAAAAAAATCAGTAAACAAGATCTCAACTTCTTTTTGCAAAGAAAAACTTTTTACGTGAAGGCACGGGTTTCAACTGTGAATTTTGGAACTTCAACAAGACGGAGGTTTTTTCCCCGAGGTTGGCCTGTTAGCTTAGCTCGTAGCTTAGCTTCTCAGATTACCTGTTTTAACGATCTAAAAACACAATTTTGGACGGTTAAAACAGATTTTAAAGAGAAAAGAGAAAGGGAGGGGTCAGTGAAGAGCACCGGAGTTGAGCCTTTTGTCATCCAGCGTCTTCAGTAGAAAGAGAGAGACATGAGGAAACGATAAAGCTGATAAATGAAAATGAGGTTGATAATTTTTATTTATTATGCGATTGATTTATTGTTTATTGCGACAGGCAATAAATTGTGCAGTGCATGCTAAACATGCTAAATCTTCAGCTGGGAAGTATTAAAAACCACAGCAAGGATTTTCTTTGAAATCTGTGAGCTGAGGCCTGGATCACTGAGACAGAGGTCGAGTTAGGATCCTTTGTCCATTCAAGAAAAAAATAACCTGCATACATTAATAATCAGTTCTAAATACATATAAAATATGTTAAACAAGTCATATACAGAGGCTGTATTTTGTAACATGAGATATTATTAGCAGCTAAATAGCAGCTGATTGATCACCAAATCAAACTATACGCTGTTTATTTTTTAAATCCACCATCCCATGTTGTTGAGTTTAAGCTCCTCATTTATGTTGAAAATCTGTGAGAAACTTTCTTTGTAATCTCCTTTTTAATTATCCCGTCTGTTATACGTCTCTCATCAACTCAGACCACAAAAAGGTAAACATGAAACTACTCAGCTTTAATTTATTTGAACCTCAGATGTTACTCAATCACCTATTTGAAAACAAGCTTTGGGGGCAGCTGTGGCTGAGTGGTTAGAGCAGTCGTCCTCTAATGGGAGAGTTGGGGGTTTAATTCCACCAGCAGTCACATGGTGAAGTGTCCCTGGGCAAGACACTGAACCCCTCATTGTCTCTGATTTGTATCCTGATGTGTATCTGATGTTAATCAGTGTATGAATGTGATAAAGCACTGATTATTCTCTGTACAGATCTAGTAGAGAGCTGTATGAATGGGTAAATGAGGACACAGATTGTAAAGAGCTTTGAGTATCTTGATAAGATAGAAAGGTGCTATATAAGTACAGTGTATTTACCATTTAAAAGTGAGCCTTAACATAAGAATGCTCTCTGATTTATTGACCTTTGCTTCTGTTCAGTTTTGCAAATCCTTATACAAGTATCATTTTGTCCTATGTTTTTTTTTACTTTTCGGATCGCATTTAAAAACCCGACTTCTAAAGTTTACTCCAGAGTGCTCAAAATGTTCACATCTCTGAATGCAAGTTGCAGAAATGCGAACACCCCTTTGAACACAGCCCACTGAGTACAAGTGCAGGGTTTATAAACCTAGATAATACTGAAGCATGAAGTTCAGACAGACAGCGTAGAATAAAACAAGACCAACGGTATGTCAAGGCTCTGAAAGGTATAGCTTGAATTTAAAACAACAAAAAAGAAAACTCACCCTTATCTCTGTGATTGTTTTTGCAGAAGAGAAGTATTTTTTAGTTTCAGAGAGGGGAAAAAAGACAGATAAAGCTGTAGTGGAGGAGAACATTCTGCAGGTCAAAGCTGGTTTCTTAAAAGCCAACAGAAGACGGACCCCTGAATTTACTTGCATCATTTTTAGACAATTTCTCCGAATGAAGGAACATAAGGTTTGACGACTCTTTTCTCTGGAGCAGCCACAATATGGAACACCTCACTTGGGTGAACATTTGACAGAATACTCTGTCGGGGTCAGAAAACGAGACACCGGTGAGACTAGAGAAAAGACGAGAAATAAAATCCTTACGAGTTGCCGCCACCGTCGTACAGCTTGTCAGTTGTAGGTAACTGACATGCTGCGTAGCTTTCAGTGTCCTTCTCGCAATCTGTCTTGTACATGCACGCCTGGGATTGTTACAGTAAGGAGGTGTCAGCCTCCCGCTGCTGTTCCCGAGCTCTATTCATAGCTGATTAATGGTGTCATTAGTCTCTGTGCCAGAGGTAATGAATTACAGGCATTAAGGCTTAACGAGGAAGGTTACTCTAGATCTGCATACAAAATGTGGGTACACAGAACAGTTGAGACATACCAGTGTTGATCCCAACACTCAACAGAAGTACAACCTACAGATAGGACATGGAGTAAAACGTTCTGATGGGACGGTATGTTTGGAAATACGTTCGAACGTAAAGATGCACCTTTTGTACCAGAGTTCAACAGACACATCAAGTGATGATGACAACACTTGATATCTTTCAGTTTCGACAGGAAGTAATCGTAACGTGTCGTTTATCTGCTGCAGTAAACTCCCATGGCCGACTGCTGGTTCTGTGCTTCTAGATGTTTATGTCTTTGTTGTTTCAAAAGAGCCTGAACAACACATGTTGAAACCTAAATGTGGTTTGAAGTGTCTGCCAGGAAAATACCTCGCTGACACAGTATGGCTCGTCTTGTTGCTGTGCTCTGTCTTGCCATGGTGTATGACCTGTGACATGAAACTATCTCTGCATCCCCCTGGTAGCAGAGCTTTGTCATTCCTCACATAGGTTCAAGCCTCCTGTACAGCTGCTGTTTCAGATAAAGGCTGTGATTCAAATCGTTCACAAAAAACAATATCAGCTCCTGTTTGTTACAATTTTACAACATCGCTCACGACATCAAAGTTCATGTTCAATAATCCAGGAAAAAAATCCAGCAAGGTTAAGTCAGGTCCTCTGGACGGTTTCTTTTTGTTGAAATATTTCATCTTTCATCCAAAGGACTTCATCAGTCTGAGGAGCCACAAAAAACTGAGTCTTAAAAGCAGTCTTAAAAGTCTTTGATGTTTTGAACCACTTTGGTCATGGCTGCCTCAAACGAGTCAGCAGGGGAGAGGTTGGACTCCAGAAACCATTTTAGCACCATCAAACTGGTTG